ACCACTGCTTAGGAGTCCTTCCTTCTTTTCTTTTCCTTTTTTCTTTGTTTTTTTTTTTTTTGACCAATGTTAAGAACCTTTACTGACCAATCCATCCATTGGTTAGGAGTCTTTTTAGGACTGAAAAAGATGGGGTGCAGTCTACTCACCATAGTGCCTACTTAAAAAAATAAAAAGGAAAAATGTTCTTTAAGTGCTCTAAAGAAGTCACCCAAATAGGTACGAACATAGACTGTCATCTAGGTATTCAGGACCTCAACAAACTGTCTTTCTTTCTTTTGTTTTTTATCTTTTTATGACTATTGGGTACAAAATTGGGTGGCTACATTTATTCTTTCAAAGTTGAAAATAACTTTTTTCAAACTTGATAATACACCCAAACCATCAATTTTTACGTCGGATGGTTATAGGTAATTGTATTCTCTTTGTACGAAAGATAAATAATCTCATAATATATAATTCGTAATTCTAAAGAGGACTCCAAAGTTTATGATCATCCAATTTTTTGGTTGATCATCAAAGTATTTAAGAACTAAAAATCTCCATCCTTTTTCTCAAAAATAACACTTCGAGTGATTCTAAAATAGATCAAAAAATCCTAAAACTGTACACTCATATGCTATGAACCTTATAAAAATGTTTTCCATATCTAAAACAAGCACGGGGTGTTATTAATAGCAGATTTGAGCAACATGTTGCTGGTATCATAGCATACAACTTTTGTAAATTTAGGCGCCTCAATTCGAATATATGCCTTCCTTGTTATATTTCTAAGAACCTTCTTTTATTTCATGATATTGAAAAACAAAAATTGAGTTTGATAGTGTTATATGGGCAATAGTATAAGTGTCGATCGCCCACAGTATTAACGGTTTCTAGTAGCTTGACTCAGAATAGAACAACATGCGCTTGTTATTAATGTTTAAAAAAGTTGTGTTTATAAATATAGAATGTGATTTCTCTATCTAATGATAAATGAATACATGGTTTATTGGTAGAGTGGAGGGATTTTGTGCAAAAGGCCTCGTGTTCTAGCTTCTCGACAAATAGTATTTTCGAATTATTTTAATTTCAAACAATATTAGAAGTGAATTTTTTACCGGTGTTCGTAAAATCGAACCAGAACGATTAACTGGGCATGGGCATGGAAGATGTTTAACCGGCCTAACAGGCAAACCGGCTGAAATCGAATCGGAACGATTAACCGGCATGGACCTTGAAGCGGTTTAACCAGCCTAACTGGTAAACCGGTTGAAATCGATTCGGAACGATTAACCGAGCATGGACCTGGAAGCGGTTTAACCTGCCTAACCGGTAAACCGGATGATTCAAACGCTCTAACCGGGGAACGATTAACCGGGCATGGGCCTGGAAGCGGTTTAACCGGCCTAACCGGTAAACCGATCAAAATCGAATAGGAGCGATTAACCGAGCATGGGCCTGGAAGCGCTTTAACCGTCCTAACTGGTAAACCGACCGATTCAAACGCTCTAACCGGGCAATTGCCGGGTGGTCAAAAAAGTGTTGAAAAAAATATAAAAATACAAAACAAATCTACTAAAAATATGAAAAACATATAAAGAATGATTAAAACAAAGCACATTCAAATGAAGTTGAAAATTAATGAAAATAAATAAATTTTAACCCATTTTATATTTTCCAATGGCTATTTTTTAAATTTTCAAAAAAAGATAGGAAAATATAAAAGTGAGTATTAATGATCAAAACAATTTTTAATCTTTACCATAATGTAAGGAATATTTAAAAATGCATTACAAATCAAATTTTTTATTTTTGAGAATGTATATATATTTTTTATTTTTTATTTAAAATACTGGTTGATCATCCTAACCACCTAAAACTGAAACCGGCCACCTGCCGGTTGGAATCTAACCGGGTGGTTAACGGTTAGATCGGGCGGTTTTACAAAACAATGCTTTTCATGTGTTTACGTGGTCATACGTGTCACTCCCAAACATGTTGGTATGTAAACTAGCTCCGAGTCATGTTGAAATGTATCAACATATTTCCACACTTATCCACCCCAGCTCCCGGAGTGTTGCTGTAACAATGCAATTTGGGTTAAAATACATCAGCGCCAATACATGCACAATTATAAAACTACATGAGACCCAATTTCATGGGCAATACGAGCACAACTATGAATCACACGAGATCATTTAAAGGAAAGCGCCTTAGTGAGCCCACTATCAAATTTTATCTCTCAATGCTTTTGGTGTCGTCCTGAACAAATATTCTTCCGGAGTTCTGTCTATCAAAGAGGTCACAATCACTCTTGTCCATCATTTTTCAAATTAAATGGTTGTAAGAGTTTATACTTAATGGCCTCAAAATCCGAAAGTTCTCAAGCTTCACGACATATCCCTAGTCATACAGTTTGATATCTAGTGGCTAGGAGTAGTTATGACTTCCTTTTACTAAGAGTAATTATTTTCTCCTTATTGTTGGGCTCACCCTGTCGAACCCTCTCACACGAATGCAGATGCATGTTAGCAGAAACGAGATTTATGTGACACCAAATACACCAAAAATGATGTGTGTCTGCATGAGTGGGAAAAAATGTAATAAAAGAAATAAAAATAACTTTTTGGCATCGAAATTTATATGGTCCACATTTTCAAACTACGGCCACTGAAAAAAGAGATAGATCTACTATTAAAATAATAATTACAACGTTCTTCCAAAGAACAAACTTTATTGGAATCTCTCTAATTTCTTCTAGATGCTTTCTCTCTTTATGTTTTTCCCTTTTTGAGGTTCTTGCTCTCTCTCAAGCTTTCTCTCTGCTTAAATTTCTCCTAGGTTTTTCTCTCTAAGAAACACTATGATACCCACATAAACACTCTTTCTCTCTTTAACAAGCTTCTCTCTCTCTTCTTCTTCTTTTATCTAACATAAAGCTCTTTATATTTTTTTAATACATCAAGAAGAAGCTCACGTTTACGAGAGGAACACAAAAAGCTAAAAAAGAACATAGACCCTCACATTTTAGGTTTTATATGGGACCAATGGGATGAGTATCCTTTGACCGACCTCCTAAAAGATGGCTCATCTCTATCTCTTTTCAATTAAGAGATAAGAGAAAATCTCTTCGGCTTCCCATTTTTATGCGATAATGACTTGGTTAACAAGTCATCCCTTTTTAACATTTCGTAATTACCCGTCCTAGTTAAGCAACTTTCAGTGGTGCCGTTCCCACTAAACAACATGATACACAACTATCTCTCCCTCCTATCCCATGGGGAGGTTCTCCTTTGTAGATCAACTAGGTGCTCAAACAACACACATGTCCACCATACTTTTGCATGACTTTTACCTGTTTCTTGTCAATGTCTTCGTCATTATATTTAGCGTACTCTCCTGCCAGTATGGATTTTCCCTAGTTGCAACAGTTTCTCACTCTTCTGCAGCTTGCTCCCCCTGCAAAAGTAAGTAGGTATCTCGCGATTAACTTCTTGGAGTCTAGTTCTCCAACCATGTCTTCATTTGTGTATGAGTGTATCTCATGTTTTCGTCATCTAAAGTTCAAACACAATTTGGATGTTCCTCTGCGATATTTGAATATTCAATTGATTATTCTCCAATTTACCTTGCTTATATTAGCATTTAATCTACTCATCACGCCAACTGCATAGGTACGATATATGACATCATACACACCATGATGTACATCAAACTCCTTACGACTGACTCGTAAACCTCTTCCTTCTTCTTTTCGTTGAAGGGCTCTGCCTAACACGTAATTCCTGTTTGTCTTGCCTTTAGGCAATTTTATGAGGTCACATGTATGATTCTTTTGCAAGGATTTTTCTTGTCTTGCATAGCTCACCTCTTTGTGTTTGGCGACTTGGACTTCTTGGTAGGTTTCTGGTCCACCCCTTTTAGTGTATAAGACATACTCTAATGCGGGGTATCTGGTAGAGGGTTTATGTCCACTAGAGGACCGTCTCAATTCAACTGTATGTAGCACTTCTTGAAGGTTCCACATCACCCAGAACGGGTATGTCAGATTCTTGGGACATATCCTTTTGTTCCACTTCTTCCCTATCTTTATGTACAACGATGGAAGGAATTATGAACAATTTTGAACCATTGAAGATTTGTGGCTTTCCTTATTTCTTCACATCTTCAATAGTAAGGTTTCTTGAAAGACAACATCTTTACTCTTGATCACCTTCTTGTTTTCACCATTGCCTAGAGTTGAACTCTTCAACTGAGTAACGTAGGGAGATGCATATGATTGTTTTCTCATCCAACTTGAATCTTTATTCTTTGGGCACGTGCACTAATGCCTTGCACCCGAATACCCTCAAGTGTGAATAAAATATATCTTGTTTGGTCCAAACTCTCTCTGGGATCTCACTATCCAGAGGAAATGATGAGGATTTATTTATTAGGTAGTATGCTGTGAGATATGCTTCTGCCTAATACGGCTTTGCTAACTTGGCATTGGATAGCATGCTCTTAACTCTTTTCATAATTGTGTGATTCCTTCTCTCTGTTACACCATTATGTTGGGGGGTATATAACACTATATTTTCGTGTCTTACATCACGCTTGACATAGTAGCTTTTGAAAACATTCGAGATGTATTCTCCCTCATTGTCTTAACCGAGACATTTTAACAGCTTGCACGTCTTCCTTTTCACCTTAGCATGAAAATTCTGAAAGATCTCAAACACCAGATCTTTCGATTTCATTAAACACCTTTATTTAAGCATCATCGATGAAGGTGAAAAAATATGATATTCCACCAAGCGACTTGACATCCATGGGAGTACATACATCTGAAAATACTAGATTTAGGATTTTCATATCTTTGAAGCGCTTACTACAGAAAGAGACTCTATGTTGTTTGCCTAGTAAACAGTGGTCACATGGAGTTAGAGATGCATTCTTGACACTGAAAAGAATCTGCTTCTTTGTTAAGATTTACATTTCTTTTTCACTCATGTGGCCAAGACACCTGTGCCACAGGTCTACTGAAGGTTCTTCCATAGCGGCATTAACTTTTCTATTGGAGACTTGCACTTGTGTTCTGTAGAGTGAATAATACCCTTCCCGAACACTGAGTGGTACGCTTCATCATTTAAACATCCTCTTGAGATGAGGTTCAAACAGGTATCTGGTAAACGTTTGACGTCGTTTAGCATAAGCTTCATCCTAACATCATTCTTGATGTGTACATCTCCCTTACCCACAATCTTTGAGGAACCGTTGTTCCCCATCTTTATAAAGCGAAAATTCCCGCTTTATAAGAAGCAAAATAACATCTATGTGGGGTAACATGAAATGATGCTTCGATATCTACAACCCAATCCGAGTTGCATGAACCTGATGCAATATAGATGCACCACGGTTTTTTACCATACCAACATCTATAGTCACTACAATGGTTTCCCTGCCATCAATCTTCGCATTGTCCTCATTATGATCTTTCTTGAGCTTCCGGCACTCTTTCTTGATGTGCCCTTCATTTTCACAATGAAAACATGTGATCCATTTTCTCGTCTTCGATCTAACTTTATCATTAGATTGGTTTGATAGGTTTTGGTCTCCATTTCCAGACTTTCCTCGATTTGTGATAAGAGCTTACGAGTTCGATGTATCAAAGGATCTTCTTCTCTTCTTGTCATTTAGTAGGCTGCTAGTGACTTTACTCATAAGTGCTGAGTTACTCATGTGGACTATCAGGGTCTCCAAACTGCCGGCAATGAACCGAGCAAAAATAATGCTTGTAGCTCATCTTTCATGAATAACTTCATTGTTTAAAGTTAGTTAACAATGCCTTGCACCTCATTTAGGTGGTTTGCAACGGAACCCCCATCCCTAAACTTCATGTTCACACATTTTTGGATCAAGAGCACCTTATTTCTAACGATCTTTCTCTCATACAAGTCAAGTAGTTTATCCCACAATGACTTGGCGGATGTCTATGTCGATACATGGTGGAATATATTTTTTTCCCACCATTGTCAAAAGGTTCCGAGAGCCTTTCGATCCCGTCTCTTCAACTCATCATCTGTCATACTTTTGGGCCTATATCTACCCCTTCAATAGGTATGTACAAGTCGCTACAGTATAATAGATCTTCCATCTTTAGCTTCTCGATGATCCAGTTATTCTCGTTGAGCGATGTCATCTTACTCTTGATACTGGAATGCATTTTAATCCACATACTGTCTTTCACACCCATCTCTTCTATTCACCGATGCTTAGGGAGATTCATCGTCTGTCAAGCTCCTACCATCGGTCAAGGATTCGTCGGTAGTCAATGATATGTCGTCTACAAATAATCTGTCGGCAGTCAAGGATCTGTCGTCTGTCAAAGATTTGTTGTCTGTCAATTCATTAGCAATCAAGTATCCGTCGACGGTCAAGCACTCACCAACTGCCAGGGTGTCACCGTCAGTCAATGTGAGACACCGATAGTTAAAGTGATTCATTGTTGATCAAGGTAGTAACTGACGATATGTCAGTCAAAACCATCTTTGCACAGTGGCCACTCACCAACCATCTCCAATTGACGATGTGTCCCAAAACACTCCGTTCGACAATAAACAAGTGTCAGCCTGCGAGGAAGTTTTCTTTTTGGTTCATCATACAACTGCTAGGCTCGCTACACAGGCAAATGGTGATAAGGAGGATTGAGCGGTGTATCCGAATCAAGAGAAACATGCTTTGATACCACTTGTTGGGCTCATCTTGTCGAGCCCTCTCTCACAAATGTGGATGTACGCATCAACCCAAATTTATGAGACATCAAATACATCAAAAATGATGTATGTATGTGTGTGTGTGTGTGTATGAGTGGAAAAACATGTAATAAAGAAAATAAAAATAACTTACTCGAATCGAGATTATGTGCTTCACTTTTTCAGGCTGCATCCACAGAAGAAAGAAACATATCCACTATTAAAATAATAGTTACAATGTTCTTTCAAGATACAAACTTTCTTGGGCTCTCTCTAATTTCTTCTAGACATTTTCTCTCTATAGGTTTTTCCTTCTCAGAGGTTTTTTCTCTCTCTCAACCGCTTTCTCCCTGTCTAGATTTATGTCTCTCTTAGTTTTTTCTTTTTATAGAAACCCCATTTTGATACTGGTAACTTCCATGGTTTTTCTGAACCTATAGGACCACACTATGTCAATAGACCCCTTAAACCATAGACCACCATAATCCATGTTCCCATCCTATGATCTAGTATCTTAGTAAATCTTGTAGTTTTTGGTAGCTATCTATTCTATACCCTTATTTTTAGTAGTTATCTATTCTATACACAAGTTTTTAGTAGTTATCAATTCTACACCCATGTTTTTAGTAGTTATCCATTCTACACCTAGCAAATCTTGTAGTTTTAGTAGTTATCCATTCTACACCCCTTTTAGGTCTATAAAAAGACACTAACGTGCTTCTTTTAGGGCTGGGATAGGAAATCTGAGAGAGAGAGAGAGAGAAGGCTAGGAAATCTGAGAGAGAGAGAGAGCCGAGAGAAAACTGAGAGATTATGAGGTCTGAGAAACCTAGACCTAAGAAAACACTAGTTTTAGATCACTTGCGGCCTTTAGATTAAGATATTCATTCAACCAAGCCAAGGCCTGGTAAAAAAAGTGAAAAGAAACAATAGGACGCACCGTGTAAAACCCGGCCGATATTGATACAGACTAGGCCTCAAAGCCTCGGGAGCCCCAGACCAATTGGCCCGATCTGGTACATTTTTACTATTTCCCGTGTGTATTTTCATTTTGTTTATTTTATTAGAATTAAATTAGTTTAATATCATTTTATATTGTATTTCGTATTTCGTATTTCGAATCAATGCTAGCTCTTCCACTGATCTGATAGCAGATCTGCTCACTTTTGAGTAGTTCTGGCCTCATATCAGAATTCGATTGTCCCACTCTTTATCACTCCTTAAAAAAAACAATTTATGGTACCGGATCTGAGGGATCTTTTTCTTTTCCATAATTTGGTGCTTCTCACTTTTATTTTCTTCTTCACCTCCATCGTATCTTGTTAATAATACTAGTAATAATAATAGCAACAACAACAACAATAATACTACTAATAATAATAATTTGGGTTTGATATCCTTAATGACAATGTTTCGATCCTGTTGCATTTTCACAATAGAGCACGTTTTTTTTTAGGATGCTCTAAATAGGTCAAGATAAGATAGAGACTTATCTTGTTTCTTTTTTAGGTTATCACAATAGTATGGTGAATTAGCAGTAGCGTGAGGTTTCTTAAAAAGATATTATCCTGTTTCTTTCTTAGGATATCATGTGCAAGGGAGAGATATGGAGGCTCCTATAGATGAGAGAAAATACGAAGAAGATATAGGATGGAGATTGAGAGAAAATAGGGAAGGGATATTGAGAGAAAATAGGGAGAAGAAATAGGAAGGAGATTAAGAGAAACAGGGAAGGGAGATTGAGAGAAAATAGAGAGAAGAAATAGGAAAATAACATTTAGAGAAAATAGGGAGAAGAAATAGGAAAAGGAGATTACGAGAAAATAGGGAGAGAAGATCGTGAAGAGATAGAGTTTCAGGGCATGGAAGAGAGAAAGAAAAAAGTTTTTTTTTTTTAAACCCACTTATTTTTCAAAAATTGCATGGGTTATTCAAGGATTGATCGATAGAGGGGACATCATTATCCCATCAAAAAATATGCTTGTTGAAGAGCCTAATAATAAAATGGGTATCTCCACAAACCCTCTTCCAAAACATACGACCATAATGGTAGGGAGGACGAAAACTCAGGATAACCCAAAACCTAACGTTTTCATTGACATGATCGAGAATAGAGACGAAGAAGAAGACCTAGCTCAATTTATATTCCCTTGTGGTCACCACCTCCATGAACCTCAAGGTGACCTATTGGGTCTTCTAAAAGGGAATCCTTCACCTCAAAAACCTTGATGACCCACAAAAGTGGACGAGGATGATATGTTAGAAATCATTGTGGTCCTGATCAATGAGAAGAGATCATCCTCCAATCAAGGGGCCAACGCCCCAAAGTTTCCCATTACGCTGGTTAGGGCAACCGCTATCGAGCTTCAAGTTGGTGAGGTCAATTCCTTAACTCGATGAGGACGAATCTTTAAATCCAACCAACTGATGACCGATACCCTCGAAGAAAGAATGGGAATAACCTCTAAGTCCAAACAACCAACAGAGATCGCAGATCATGAACCACACAGAGAATACCAAAGATCTGCAACTTCCTACGATCTACCAGCTGACCTTGGGAAGATCCAGGCAGAGATATCCATCTTGAAGCTGCTCACCAACACATAGGTCTAAATCGAGAAGGTCATCGCCAAGACGCACATCCCAAGCAACATCCAACCAGAAGAGTTGAGTGGGATGATCAACCAGTTGACAACACTATCGTCGATGTTGTTCACGGACGATGACATCCCAGCCAGCTTTAACCTCTTTCACGTCTAACTACTTTCACGTCCAACCATTGCACATCACCGCTTTCATGCAAGGATATGAGATACGGAGGGTGCTCGTTGACAACGAGGCATCCGTAAACATATGCCCTATGAAAACAGTGAAACAGATAGGCAAGAGCTCTGATGATTTCGAGTCATGTCAGCTCAATATTGCTGAGTACAATGGGACAAAGAGACAAATTGAAGGCATATTGCCACTTACACTCAAGATCGGCCCCGTCGTCCAAGTGATAAAATTTTATGTCTTTAACATAAAACCCTCATTCAACATGCTACTAGGAGCGCCGTGGCTGCACAAGAATCTTATGATAGCCTGTACGCTTCATCAATGCCTCAAATTTCCAACCAAGAACGATGTCGCTAAGGTATGTGTTGAACTTTCTTCTCTTCCAAGCTCTAGTGTAGATAATGGGAAGCTAGCTGTGGTAGTCGAGCTTGGAAAAATCCTGTGGTCATCACCAAAATGCCCCCTCTCTGAAACATCAAAAAAATTTGAGGGCTTCAAGGTCACATACAAATAAGGCATTTTATCTCACAATTGGTAGACAAGTGCGCACCCTTCAATAGGCTCCTTAATAAAGATACCCCATTCATATGGGATAATGAATGCTAAAAGGCGTTCGACTAAATCAATGAGTACCTAATCAAACATCCTGTCCTTAGTCCTCTTAATCCAGACAAACTCATGTTCCTATATATATCTGTGACAGATAAAACTATGGGGGCAATGTTAAGACAATACGATGACGATGGAAGAGAACAAACCATATACTATATTAGCAAAACCATGGTCGACTATGAGACGAGATACATGGACGTGGAGAAGCATTGCTTACCGCTTGTGTGGGCTATGCAAAAATTAGGACATTATGTCTTATCTCATACAGTCAAGCTCATCTAAAAAATAGACCCACTCAAGTACTTATTAGAGAGACCAGTCATTAACGAATGTTTGGCAAAATGGAGAATGTTATTGATTGAGTTTCAGATTGAATATGTCACTCA